AAAAAAAAAAAAAAAAAAAAAGGCTTTTTTCTAAGGTAAAAAAACCTCAAGGCCAGGCACCCTGGCTGGCTCAGTCGGTAGAGCATGGGGCCATTGATCTGCAGGTCATGAGTTCAGGTCCCATGTTGGGCCGTAGAGCTTACTTAGGAAACAAAACTAGGGGCACCTGGGTGGCCCAGTTGGTAGACATGCGACTCTTGATCTCAGGGTCGTGAGTTCAAGCCCCATGTTGGGCGCGGAGCCTACTTAAAAAAAAAAAAAAAAACACACACACAAACTCAAGGTGAGAAGAGTTGAAGGTGAGGGGCCTTCAGATCCCCAACCACAGGATCAGGCTGGGCCCAAAGGAAGCGAGGTAGTGACAGAATGGCAACACCGGGAGAAAACAGGAGGATCGGGGTCCTACGAAGTTTAGAAGCCGGTTCAGTTCACCCTAAGTGATGCTTTTCGTTTTCCTGGAGGAATTCTCAAATACTAAAAGCTCAAGTGTGAGGGACTGTGCTTTGTTCGAAGTGAGTGAAAACTCGGAGCAGTCAGACAGGTGAAGGTGCGGCAGAACAAAACATCAAGGAAGACAAAAAGGGAAGTTTTTTCCTTAAGGAGAGGAGGTGGTCCCCGGTGATAAGGATCCCCACATGGTCGAGGCAAGCTAGTTTTTAAAAAGCATTTTAACTTCTCTTATGCAGTATAATTACACTTCGAAATGTCACCAATTATTACAGCTATTAAACATTTTACATTTTACTATTTTATGACAGTTGACAACGTGCAAACACACACACGCACAGAGTAAGACTCCAAAATTTCCACATGGCTCTTTATCCTAACACTAAAACCCTGTATTTGCTGCTCACATTCTACAAGAAAATAAAGGTAATAGAGAAACTATGTCAATAAGCATTTCAGAACGAGAGAATAAAACACTAAAGGGCACGTGCTTATCTAGTGCTAATGACCTAATGATTGGCAGTCTTAAAGATGAAGCAAATGCACAATTTGAACCAGATGCTCCAACGGTTTAGGGCTAGTATCTAAGGACAAGTATCTCGGAAAATGTGTGGAAAGGTAACGACACATTTCCTACCGGGAGCCCCCCACGTAAGTGTCTTCACAACGCATTTTACTTGGTTTCTCAAAATGAAACTGCTATCTGTTGTCAACAATATATTTCTTAAAAGTCCCCCAGGAGAGGCAGTTCAGCCTAGTTCTGCAGTCAGATTTCTGGCTTTATCACTTGATGGCTATGCGACCTCGGGAAACTTATAACTCCCAGAGCCTGAGATACTCATTTGTAAAATGAGGAAGTAACCACCCTTCAAATCAAAAACCAAACAGAACAGGGCTAGTGGAAGCGAGAGGAAGTGGAGGCTGTGGTCCCAGAACAGAGCTCTGGATCTCTAGAATCTTGGCTTTCAGAGGTGGCGGGACAGGCCCGCCGGGCTGTGGTCGTGGCGGTTCGTGGCTAGCGTGAAGGTAAAGGTCACCGTTTGGAGGCGAAGTCAAGGAACGGTGCGGAGGTTACAGCCGACCACCCGCATGGTGTCTAAGCACCTCTCAGGGTGAGGACAGGAAATGAGGTGGGGAGGGACGCCTCAGATGCAAAGAGCCCGCTGGGTGCAGGAGGCTAACTGGGAAGATGGAAACACGGCCCCGCCCGGGGCTGTCCCCGGACCGCCACCCACCCCCCTTCTCCCACTTCTTGCTAACTCCCGTCCACCCCTACTCCAACCTACTTCTCCTTCCAAATAAGGAAGCTGGGGAAAAAAAGGCAGAGAAAAGTGCCCTATTATTTCCCGACAGCACCTCACACACACGTCTGGGGCGACTGAACCCACGGCAGATGACGCAACGAGGTTAAAGTGCCCTTCCTGCCCCGACAGCTCATCATACCGGGGAACAGATAAAAACCACGTACACAACACTACGTACTGACATCACCGAAAGAGCGGGGCATTAAGTGTCTAACTATATAACACTCCTCTACGGATAGTGAATGTGAAATACCCGATGGCCGACAGGCCCCTTTGTCTCAGTATCGTTTCTTCCTCTATGTCTCCCTCCCATACTCTTGTCAGCTGCGTGAAGGGATGGCAGTTATTAGCTGAGGCTGCTTACCGAGACCCCATTTCCATTTGGAGCCGAGCTGCCCTGCCCCCGCCCACTCTAATCTGGCTGTTCCTTCGTAAGTACAAAGTCTGAGAAGGAAGAACTCACCCAGAGCTTTAATATTTGAAGTACAGGAAGCAAGGCTGTGCTGTTTCTGGAGTCTGTGACTGGGCAAGTTTCTCTGAACATCAAGTAAAGGAAGCTCTACGTACATTCTGGCTTTTTATGGATTTTCTTCCGACAGCAGAGATTCAAACCAGAGCTGATACCTGCCAGTCTAAGAATAGAAGAGAGTCACTTCAACTTCAAAGAGTCTGACTTGCTATGGCTTTAAATATAATTCATGCCACTTTCTTCTGTGACACATCATAGTATCTTTTTCAAAAATCTTTTAAGATTTTATTAACTTTGAAGAAGGTATAAGAACAGCTACTTTAGAAACTGGAGACTCTCAAGCACTGATGTATTCAGAGAGTTTCTACACAGCTGAAGAAGTTTATATCAAATGGACCAAAAATAGTACAGAGGACCTATATACAGAAAGATTTGGTGAAAAAAAAACCCCATCTCTAGAAAGCAGGTCAGATGGACTCAAAGACCTCACTGAAGGTAGGAGAAATCAATGGAAAGCAATGGAAAGCCTTCTGCGGGGGCAAAAAGGTAGACAGCAGTCCATGCAATCAAGAAAAAGTTCTTTTTCCTCGTGATCTCCAGTGTGGGTTGAGAGAAAGGTCCTGATCATTTGAACTGGTTATCAATCAAGGTCCCCTTCATTTTCGCTTTCTTGGCTTCCAGTTCAGCCTGGAGAGGAAGAAAAGCATACGCCCTGATACGTGATGTGAAATTCGTACTTTCCTTCCTTACTCTAACTGCCCAAACTCTATCCTGTCGTGTTCACTCAGTAGAGCAACCAGAAGGGCGGTGTCCAGCAGCTGCTTTCCAACGTTTCTGATGTTACGGTTCACAGAGGAAATGATGACGTCTGCGTGGCAAAATGGGGGAAGCGTGCAAGGCTGTGGTCAAAGGTGACCAGTGCAGGGCTCCTGCAGCCCCAGGTTCCTCCAAGGGCCGAGGGAAGCAATTTATCGTGGCATGCCGGTATCCTATTCCCGGCAGAACAGGAAGAAATGCTCTTCTAGAACAGTGTTACTTCAAGTTGTGCTGCCCACGAACTGTTTGTTATTGGTTCGTGCAAGATATGTACAAGAATCGAGAGCAAGCCTTCTGCAACTTGCGTAGCCATTTGACAGGGATAACAAAATCAAGTAATTTGATAGGAGTAACTGAGGCAAATTCATTTTTATTGCATTTGATAAATTATAAACTTGCTCTTGACAAGCCAGAAATTTAAAAAAGAAAGCACTGTAAAAAAAAAAAAAAAAGGGGGGGGGGCGCCTGGGTGGCTCAGTCGGTTAAGCGTCCGACTTCGGCTCAGCTCATGATATTACGGTCTGTGGGTTCGAGCCCAGCGTCGGGCTCCATGCTGACAGCTCGAGCCTGGAGCCTGCTTCGGCTTCTGTGTCTCCCTCTCTCTCTGCCCCTCCCCCGTTCATGCTCGGTCTCTGTCTCAAAAATAAGTAAACATTAGGAAAAAAAAAAAAAAGCAAGCACTGGCCCTTCACCTCAGAACATTCGGTAAGCACTGCTTTGGACACTATGGCAAGGTCATGCAGCTCCTGAGACACCCCCCCCCCCCCCCCACCTCTGTCGCCAAAAAATCCTCTACGGTCATTCGAACAGACTGGTACACCCTCTGAGGAGGCACAAATGCAGTGGTGTTGGATTTTAAGGCAATAGCATAAGCACGTTACTATCAGGAAGACATGAACGCGGGCACCATCAGATATAAACGTGCGTGCTCCGCGATGAGCCCGTGGATAACACAGAAACCGGAGTGTGCTCTCAGAAGTGCCGAAGCCCCGGTCCCGGTACTGTCGCTGTAGCAACGCCGCCCGCCGTCGCATCCTGGGAGAGCATCCAGGAGCCCCGATCCGTTAACTCCTGACCTTGGACCACAGGCAGCAGAGTGAAGTATCGTTCTGGTTGGGGCCAGCTCACCAGGACTCTAACCGGGGGGCCTGGACGCTGTGGTCACCAGAGCGGGGTTCACGCTGGCAGCCCACCACGCCGGTAGCCCCTGACAGACTTGCGAAAGGATCTCCCTGAGCGTCCGAGGGTCTTCCAGACCAAGAAACCCTTGCCAGCCCGGGCCACTCACCAGCTCCTGCAGCCGCCTTTTGCTCATGCCTTTGCGCTCCAGCTGCTTTTCAATGACCTTGGCATTCTGCGCGTACGAGTCAGCGACTTCTCTCTGCGGGTGAAGCAGCAGCACCTTTAAACCAGCGGTCTTGCCCACAAGCAACAGAGCCCTTAAGTCGCCCTTAAGCAGCAGACTCCTCCGGTTCCAAAAGTACCGAAACGGACTCTGTCCCCTTTCAAAGGCTTCGGGTTTTCAGTAAATCCCGAAGAGCTCAGATCGCAGCGAAAGCGGCTGAAGATCAGATCACACCTCTCTGCAAACCTCGTTATACTCAAGTACCGTAAAGGTAAGTGCCGCTACCGCTAAGGAGAGCCACACAAACCACTCAAGCCGGAATGGAAGGGACCTGAAATTGTTGAGTCTAATAGTTTTGAAACCGAAGAGGGATGAGGGGGTTGCCCCCTTGAAAGCGGCTCAAAACACAGTAGGACACCAAGCACTGAGCTAGTCCAGCTCCCTGGCTCTCACCGTGCGGATGTCCTTGAGACCCAGGGAGACAGGGACTAGCCCCGCGTTCTCTAATCCCTTACCAGCAGAGTAAGGCCTATGACCGAAGTTTCTAGAGTCCCCCTTCCTTCCGGGCCCACCCCCAGTCCATCCAGATCCCTTGAGAGCAGAAGCACTCACAGCCTCGATCTCCTCTTCCTCTTCGTCAATCGTAGACACCGTGACAGAGCTGAACTTGCCCATGTCTTTCGTCCGTTTGGTCATCATCACCTGGAGTCACAGGAGGAGGACTCGGTCTCATTCACTGCAGTTGGCTCTGTGAGCCACGTGCGCGCGCGCATGTGTCCCTGTGGGCACACATGCCTGACTGCAGGGGGTGGGGGCTGGGGCAGGGGACACTCCCCTCTTTGGGACAGGCTGGCCTATCTACAAATGCTAATGGTTTTTATTTGGATTATGTTTTTCTAACATCTGCCATCAAGGCTTTAAAAAGTATATTTAAAACTCAGCCCGATTCATTATTTCTTTACTTATTTCATTATTGATGTAAATTCAAGTTAGTTGACATACAGCATAGTATTGGTTTTAGGAATAGAATTTCGTGATTCATCACTTACATGTAACACCCAGTGCTCATCCCAACAAGTGTTCTCCTTAAAGCCCCTCACCCATTGAGCCCACCCCCCTCCCCACCCAACACCCCCTCCAGCAACCCTCGGTTTGTTCTCTGTATTTAAGAGTCTCTTATGGTTTGCCTCCCTCTCTGTTTTTTATCTTAGTTTTCCATCCCCTCCTCTATGTTCATCTGTTTTCTGAAATTCCACATGAGTGAAATCCTATTATTTCCTTTCTCTGACTTATTCCCCGCAGCATAATACACTGTCCACACTGAAAAAGGAAGACATTTCAAAGGAAATAAATGGTCATTAAAACCATACAACTTCTCACTTTACTCAGAGGACAGCTCTAGGAAAGAAAAAAAGAACACAGAATGGATGTGTCACATGTAACATCTGCTTATACACGAAAATGGCATTCTCTTAATAAGGAATGCGTCCATAAAGGGCGATTTCTCATTATAATCTTATTGAGAAATGTAGGGCGATCTGTAGCTATATTAACCCGTCTGTCAATAGTTACCTTCTTAGGAGGCTCCTGTTTCTGGGTATAGATATTTGTTTTGCCAAAACCCTGGCCAAACTTGACCACTGCTCCATCCACGATGAAGGTCACAGGAGCGTTCTTCGGCTGGGACTGATAGAAGAGTGGCAGTCCACACCTGCAAACAGCAGAATGAATCTCTGGGGAGCTCAGAATACAAATCCCCCAAGACACGGATTCACGAAGTGTGCTCAGATCCTGGGAATAGTTTTGTCTGTGGCATAAACGAATGATCCGCTCCTTCCACTGCTTCCCGAAACTACTTCCTAAGAATCACTGAGGGATCACTTTTACAAGCCAAGAATTTGTTAAAACTGCTGCTCAGAGGGGCGCCTGGGTGGCGCAGTCGGTTAAAGCGTCCGACTTCAGCCAGGTCACGATCTCGCGGTCCGTGAGTTCGAGCCCCGCGCCAGGCTCTGGGCTGATGGCTCAGAGCCTGGAGCCTGTTTCCGATTCTGTGTCTCCCTCTCTCTCTGCCCCTCCCCCGTTCATGCTCTGTCTCTGTCCCAAAAATAAATAAAAGTTGAAAAAAAAAATTAAAAAAATTAAAACTGCTGCTCAGATTCCCAGGTCCCTCCCCCAGAAGATCCTGATTCAGCAAATCGGGGAGCTGAGGCCCGGGCATCTGTCATTTCCCTCAGGATCCCAAGTGATTCTTCTCATTCGACAAGTTTGGGAAATGCTGGCTCCTGCTACTGACGGCTTTCCAGTTACAACTGCTGCCATTCTGGGGCGCCTGGCTGGCTCAGTCGGTACAGCATGCAACTCTGCATCTCGGGGTTGAGAGTTCGAGCCCCATGTTGGGTGTAGAGATTACTTAAAAAATAAACAAAATTTTTAAAGTAATAGAAGTTTCTAAAACATACTATATATATATATAGTTGCTGCCATTCTTCCAAGAGTCTGGGTAACTGGTCTAAGGTTTTTTTAATTTTTTTTTAACGTTTATTTATTTTTTTGAGACAG